AAAAACGAACTACAAACATATTAACGCCAAACATTCGGTAGAAATTATAGAATATTGTAATATATATATATATATATATATATATATATATATATATATATATATATTATAACTAGATAAATGAAAAACAGAGCCAACCTCGTCATCAAGATTGCACTGTTTGACGACAAATGTGCAATCGAGGCAGTTGAGGCCCACCAACAAGCCACTCAACTGCAGGGCATCTTCACACATCATCAAAGAATCCTCATCATAAATGTCTCTTTGTGTGTCATTCAATATGAGTTTTAATCAATTTTACACCGAACATGTGCAAACAGCTTATAACGAAAGATTGAAACATGGGTCCTTTTGCGTTATCACGTTGAATATTCATTACATTCATGCACTAGCCGGATGACACAGATAAGAAATATGATTTGAAAGTAAGTTAATCAAAAACAGCAAACAAATGAACAAACAAAAGAACAAATAAAAGAACAAACAAATGAACAAACAAAATAAAGAAACAAAGAATGAACATGGGAATGAAGAGAAAGGCAAGCATGCAGTGACTGCAGAGAACCTCAAAAGATCATCCTTGTGTTGAAGTAGGAGCACAAAGTACTCGGACAGTTTCTTTTGCATCAAGGCCAGTCGTAACCAGCCTCGAAGTCGACCAAGTGGACTCCTGTCAATCATATCATCATCATCATCACCTTTATCTAATTATAGACCTGTAACTAATATTACTTTCATCTCTAAAATAATAGAAAAAGTAGTTTTTAATCAACTGTCATCCTATTTAAACTTTAACTCCTTGCTACCTGTATCTCAATCTGGTTTCAGACCTGCTCACAGTACTGAAACTTCTTTACTCAAAATACACAATGATATCCTTCTCTCTAGTGACAATAGTAATCTTACTCTTCTTCTTGCTCTTGACTTTTCCTCGGCTTTTGATACTGTTGACCATACTATTCTCTTGAGACTGCTGCATCATTCTTTTAATATTACTGATTCTTGTCTATCTTGGTTTTCTTCTTATCTCTGTAATCGTTTTTCTTCTGTTGTTCTCAATAATTCTACTTCTAACTCCTCTACTCTTACTTTCGGGGTACCTCAGGGTTCTATCCTTGGCCCTCTTCTATTTATACTCTATACTTCTGAACTACCTCGTATTATTAATAACTTTTCTTTCTCTAGTCAACTATATGCTGATGATTTATACATTTATACTTCTTTTCCTCCATCTAATCTCAATAGTGTTCTTCATAATTTATCTCTATGTCTTTCTTCAATTATTGCTTGGTCTGACTCTATGTGTCTTAAACTTAATCCTTCTAAGTTTGAATTAATTTGTTTTAATAAATCTAAACACTCTATTACTATTCCTTCTATTATTTTACCTGATTCTAAAACTCTTGATGTCTCTCATAAGTTTCGTAGTCTAGGTTTTATCTTTGATTCTACTATGTCTCTCTCTTACAGATTAATAGTGTTGCTAGAAGCTCTTACTTTCATCTACGTAGAATAAAAAAAACTTTTGCCATTTCTTGATGATCCTACTCTTCTCCTTCTTGTTACTTCGTTAGTCTTATCTAGGATTGATTATTGTAACTCGCTCTACTATGGTCTTCCTGACTCTATACTCTATCCTTTAAGTAAAGCTTTTAACTCTGCTGCTCGTCTAGTTGCTCGTGCCCCTTTCTTTTCTTATATATCTCCATATCTTGTTCTCTTGCACTGGCTACCTATAAAATATAGAATAATTTTTAAAATTTGCACGTTCATGTATAAGTCTCAATCTAAATTATTTCCTAAGTATTTATCAGATATATTAATTGAACCTAAACTCCCCGGTTAACGATCGTCTTCTTCTTCTCGCTTTTTCTTAACTCGTGTTAAACACTCTTTTGCCAAATCTGCTTTTGCTTTTTTTGGTCCTTTTCTATGGAACTCTCTACCTACTTCTCTGACTACTTCTCCATCACTTGCGAAGTTCAGAGCGGATCTCAAGACCCATCTGTTTTCAAAATTCATTGAGGAGCGCTGTTGAACATCGCGGAAATAGCGCTTTATAAGCTAATTGATTGATTGATTGATTGATTGATCATCATCATCTTCATCATCATCTTCATTATCATCATCTTAATTATTATTTCAAGTTGGTACTGTTGTTATTAAAATCGTTAATATGTAGCTACTGTTATGAATAGATGAGTCGAACAAATGAAAGAAAACCACAAGCAAATAGTATGAAGACGTGGAATAGAATGACCCACTGTTTAGTGGTGTTGAAAGAAAGGTTTATAGTGATGTGCTGTTGTCTGTCTGATGTGATTTTAGAGATAAACAATAAACAGTGACAAGAAGTAAGTGAAAATATTAAAGATGGTAATTAAATAATAAAAACAGACCGAACCTGATATCATTCATTTCTTTAATACTGATGACGACTTCATTGAGGTCAGTTGACTCTCCTGCTAGTTGTTCAATGGCTGACCAAGCACTCTTCTTCTCCCTCAAGAAAACTTTCACTTCTTGTTCAGTGATTATAAAGTCATGGTAGTTGATAATTTTCAAATGCCAGTCATGAAATTCAGAAAAAAATGTAATACACTAGGCAGGCAGACACAAGACAACATGAAGAACCTCAATCCCAAACAACTTGCACCACAAAATAGCTTTCGTCGATAACAGTTTTGTACCGACTCACAAAGTAGAATGTGTAAAAATTCAGTAGAAAAAAATACCTCTTAGCCTGTTGTAAAATATGTGCTCCATGATGATAAGGAACTGTTTGAGTAGGGGATGATCATTATCAAATGGAATGGATGGATTCAATGAGGAACTAAGTATCTTCTTGATAACCAGCTTACAGATTGTTAACAGGTTTGTTCTCTCTACTTCTGCCTCAACAACTTTTTCAAAAATAAATATTGATGTTAATTCACGGCTATTAATGAAATAATTAATGAAATTACTTATTGTACTAGTAAAAAAATTAAATAATGTGAAGACAAAAAATACCTTTTCATTTAAACTTTTGAATTGCCTATAAAAAGCATTTAGTATAGACAAATGTTTAAATTTTTTATTTTAATTTTTAGATTACCTCTTGCTTTTTTACTTTTTTCTTCATATATTTCATATATTATATATATATATATATATATATATATATATATATATAGTTTGGAACGAGGCTTTCTTGGATGCATATATCGTTAAATTTATATGCCCATTTTGGATAAAAAACTACTAAATGCAGAATGGGCATATAAATTTAATGATATATGCATATATATATATATATATATATATATATATATATATATATATATTGGAATTATTGAGGAAAATCATAGAATTTTCGGCATTAGTTAACTTCCAATTAAACTTTTCAATTTTTCTAACGTTTGATCGTAAATCATTTTCAAGTTTCTTTAGTTAAAAATATCTGATCATCTGGGCACAACCACAACATATCAATTTGAACACCGAAGATGGTATAGGAATACCAAAAAAAGCTTTACTGCTTTATCGTGCATAAAACAAATGAAAACTTTGGTTTTGAACTAAAGAAACTTTAAAATGATTTACGATCAAACATTAGAAAAATTGAAAAGTTAAATTAGAAGTTAACTAACGGCGAACATGCCATGATTTTCATCAATAATATATATATATATATAATATATATATATATATATTTGATTGATAAAAATCACAGCATGTTCTGCTATATAAGCATTTAGTTTAAAACTTCCTTGCTAGCATACCTTTAGTTAAGGTTGTTAGGCCAGTTAGGGTTAATAATAGGGAACAATAATTATTATCGTAATAGGGCTACATTTAGTTAGTTTTACTTAACGAAATGAAGTTTAATTTTAAAAATTTTCTAACCAAAATCTGAATTTCTAACCAACTGAATCATACCTCATGCATGCCCCAAACTCTCTAAATCATCATCATCATCTACATCATTTTGAATGTATCTTTTATCATCATGGCAGGAATGTTTGTATTAGCAAACAAAAAACACAGCAGCTCATGGAAAATCAATTTATCAGCCACAAATTTATTAAAAATTTTTAGTTTTTTTTTTTTTAAATTTAATTTTAATTATTATCAAATAGAAGAAAACCTTGTTATGTTTTTTTATTTTTTTATCATTTTATTTTTGTTCATTTTTTCATAAAAAAAAAGTAAAAAATTAAATAACCTGTCTGATGATGCATTTTGCTTTGGTGGAAACGAGACAATCACAGTGCAGAAGGGGGAGAGGACAGATGAAGATAATAATAGCGATGATGATGATGGAATGGATGAAGTTGAAGTATAAATTAGCATGAGCTGATTAAACTTGCACATTAAATTTATGATTAAATTTCTAAATATAGTTTACAACGCTCATAACATTTTATTAAAAATTCCATGATTCTCAACGTTCAACGACGACATATATTCCGGCCGCAAAATTGAAAAAAATTGGAAGAAAAATTTGTTTACGTTTGAAATTAGATTAGATGAATATCAGTCACTCGTTCATAAACTTTCAGTTAAAAGGTTTTAGATGTTACAATAAAAGGCGATTATGAGCGAATAACCCATAATCGTAATTTATCTAATTCTCGTTACAAATTTTTAAATATTTTTATCAAATAATTCAATTATTTATATGGCTTCATGAGTTAATTTTTATTTATTATTATTCATCCGATGAAACGACAATTTTTTTAACTCATATATCGTTGGTTTACTTAACATTTCAGCTGCATTTTTTGAGAATTTTAAAATTTGGTATTCTATTCTATTTTTTTGAGAATTTTAAAATTTGGTATTCTAATTTTAACCTAATGTTGATAATGCTGACAACGTACCAAGCAATAGATGAGACTTTTAGAATAATTGCATTTTCCGAGAGAAACTATTCATTTTTCAACTCATTCAATATAAGCACGAATAATTTCAACATTACAAAATTAAAAGGTGGTGAATTATTTGTTTCGTTGTATGTTTCTTTTTTTTCTCAAATTCAAATTTTTTCAGTCTGTTCAGACTAGTTCTCCATCCAGAAGATCAACCAGTTTTAGAAGAAAAATATGATATTTATATGAATGAATCGATGTAGGGGAATTCAACAATTTGATTATTTAAAACTGAACTTTTCTGAAACTTTAATTGATAAATTGTTTGTAGTAAAATAATAAAAAGATTTTATTATTATTTTACGATAAAGTTCTTTTCAAAATATTGCGTAAAAAAACCAACTTTGTTACTCAGGGTTTAGGTGTAGTTAGAGGTGTTTTTAAAAGTAATTACAATTTTTCGTTTTTTAGCGCTCTTTCAACTTTTGTGTTGATAATCTTTTTAGCAGTCATTTGCACAGGACCTAACAACTGGAATAATTTAACGTCAAAACTCGAACACTGCAGTTAAGAATATCGCATTTAACTTATTAGTTTACACCCTGTTATAGACTGATAAATTTTATGTCAATTCCATTCATGGTTTGTTGAAAGTTTCAAAAATCCAACACTCGCAACGTGTTTAATTTTTCAATATTTTCTCTGCTTGTAGATGCTTACACTTTGGTCCTTTTTGTTATCAAGAAAAAACTATGAAATTTTGCTAATCAACCTTATTACCTCTGAAAAACATGGAAAAACCCAAAACCAACATAATATGTGGCGACAAATTGAGATTTTATGACATTTCAATTTGTGACGTCATTTTTAAAAATAAACATTAAATTCGAAAACATTAAAAATAAATGGTTGAAAATAATTGAAAAAAGAGACCCAAAAATAAATTAATAACAATATAATGTTTTATGAAGTTCATTCCAAATCCTCACCTTTGACATTCCCAGCTATCCGCGATACCCTGTTGATCAAGGTTTCACGAACCTGCCAATGAAGAGAATAGTGTCAGTCCAATCATCTCGAATAAGAAAAATAAATGGATGGTTAGCGTTGATTTCAACAGAACTGTCTTTACTGCCTGTCTTAGTCGATTTATACTCGCCTGTACCGACGACCGCAGCAGCAGACGCTCTAGTGCCCTTTTTATCAACAGAGATGTGAGTTTTGTGGAAAATATTTGTTACTGAGGATGTTTTGCTGAATAATTTAGATAGATGGCCCTGCTCAGTGAAAAGACTGCTCATGTTCATTTTATTCAAAGTTCCAACAACTTCAACATTTGAATCAAATTCGAAAAGTGGTAAATGAAGAGTGCAGTTGTAAAAATCCCAATTGCTTCTTTCCAGTCCCAATGAAACATTTTTTGTTAGTTTTTTCTCGACTATATCTAAAGGATCAGTCAAAGATTTTGGAAGAATAATAAGGAAATGGTACCGTACTGTAACATAGTAACTTCACTATTTAATTCTGGACTGAATTGATAAAGAAGGTCTCTACTGAAGGTCATGAATTTTGTTGTAACGGATTTTTCATTGTTGATATGAAATATATTTTCTTTTGTCATGTCAGGGTTAAATGGTTCACTCCATTTGGTATTAAAAGAGACTGCGTTGGCAAAAACTAACTTGGTTTCCTGTTTCACTCCACCAGGTGGAATGAAATTTTTTATCATGTGGTCAGTTGCGTTTTCAAATTTTTTGTTGATTTCCTCCAAGCAGTTGTTTGGATTGTGCCTTACGATAAAATTAAACAAAATTCACAAACACTCAATCTAATGAAATATTGATAAAACTATTTTAGGAACATTTAACATTTCACATCAAAGCTAGCTGACAACAATCATGTATGGTCTTCAACGTAAAAATTCATTCAGACTAATATTTGCATTTAAGCTTGGCTTTAACCGCTGCCTATTGCTTTTTAAGTATCGTTGTTATTTTTTTGGACCAAAATTAAACCACTACTTTCATTAAAGCGTTTTGAATATTTTGTTTCGCAAATGAAAACGTTTAAAGCCAACAAAAACTAACAGAAAATTGCAGTAGTTTGGTTCTTGGAAGTAGTCATAGAGTTTCGACTGATTTAGATAATTTTCCAACAAAGTAACCTGCTTGTCACAAAACATGAAATTAATTACTTTGAGATTGACTAAATCCTTTAATTTTTCGTCGTAATGTTTCCTCAATTCATGGATACTTTTGTGGAAATCAACATCTGACGTTCCGTTCAGTTTAAAACCCTCCTTCATCTCCTTTTCAGTGACTCCTATTAAATAAATTTTAAATAACATATATTTTTCCCGTTTGTTGATGAACGAATATTTTTAAATTGCGCAAACCTTAAAAAATCATCAAATTTTTGGTTTTATTCATTTTTTGTTGATTAAAAAATGAATATTGTTTAAGGTCTGAAATTGTTCAAAATTGTTTTTGAGTAAAATAATATTTTTCTATTTTAATTCAAAATCAAAATCCTATATATGAATTTATCATTACTATATATTTTGAACGAAAACATACCAAAAAAGTAATTCGTTTTCAATTGAACTTTCAATTGTAAATTTAAAACTATTGAAATTGATCGATAGTTTAATTATTATCGTAAGTGACAAAAATATCATCTACGATTCTACGTATCGACCGTAAAATTGTGGTTTGACTTGTGGGTTTTGGTAACTATATTTTTTTTCAATATGTCCCATCTAAAAGTTGGCAAACAGGACGCCCAATGGGGAGCTCATTTTGCATAGCTTAAAATATAAACAGCAATTTCAAAACTTCGGTCAATACCAAATCAACCAACAAAGGCTGAAATAAATATCAATGGTCTCGGTAAAAAGTATACATTCGTGAAGGACATAATTACAGATCACGAAGTTGATATCATGGCAGTATGTGAGAGTAGACATTCAAGTTCAGAGGATGTTGTCTTGCGCAGAATGGTTCCTGAGGGTTATTGTTGTCTGGATGTTGCACGTAAGGTGAATGATGATAAAGTGATAAAAGGAATTGCTCCTGTTGGTGGTGGTGTGGCCGTTGTTGTCAGAGAAAGCATGAAACCAACAATAATTGAACTGGTTCATGGTTTGAAGACTTTTGAATATATATGTATATCCTGCTTTCCAACAAAATTTAAACGAGTTTTACTTTTAAATATTTATCGTCCGGGCTCTCAGCAAGTCACAAACTGTTTTTATACTGAAATTCAGTTGATATTTGAAGGTCTTGAAATGCAACATGGTCATATCATTATAACTGGTGATCTAAATATTCATTTCGAGGATGAAACAAATTCGCATGCCATGCGTTTACTGACATTGATGGATGCTTTTGGGTACAAACAACATGTCATGTCTTCAACACATGTTTTGGAAGGCACCCTTGATGTTATCATTACGAAAGAGAATGGAATCATAAAACTGTTGACGTTCTCCCACCAACATTGTCGGATCATGGGCTGGTACTAGCTGAATTTGTTATAGCGGTAGATAGAAGTACTCCTGTTCTTACAAAGTTGATTCGCAGTTTCAAAAAGTTTGATAAACAAATGTTCCAGAAGAAGTTGTTGGACAGTGATTTATGCTGTGAGGATTCATTTTCCGAGTTTGATGTTGATCGGCTGTTCCAGACATATGAAGCAACATTTCGTTCATTGATTGATAGATTTGCCCCAGTCAGGAAAATCACAGTACGTGCTCTAAAACCTCTCTGGTTTGACAATGAATGCCTGAACAAAAAACGAGAAGTTCGCAAACTAGAGAACATCTTTAGATTAAAACGAGATGATGAGACTCGTAGAGCTTGGACGACAGTACTGAAACAAAAACATGATCTGTTCATGCAAAAAGAAAGGATGTATTGGCAGTCAGTTGTTTCATCGAATGTCAAGAACCCTAAGGGGCTGTGGAAAATTATATCAGCATTGCTCGGGAGGAATGAAACTTTCAAGCCTAGCAAGATTTCTGCAGAGGAGTATTTGAAATATATTGTTAAAAAGACAGAGCCAGCACATATCGATGATCTTTGTAGACCACAATCTCCTGTCATCAGAAAAGTTAGCTGTCATTTTGACCAGTTTGAGATTGTCGCACCAGATGAGGTGGCAAAAATAATGTCATTGATGCCAGCAAAAAGTTGTGGTACTGACCCTGCACCATCTTTCTTGATCAAACAATTTTCTGGTATTCTGATGCCATATCTATGTGCATTATGTAATGCATCACAACAATCGTCATGTCTGCCGGAGAGTCAAAAAAGGGCTATCATACTTCCTAAGCTAAAAAAAAGCTGGTTCCGATGCGAGTGACGTTAGGAGCTATCGGCCGATTTCAAACCTCACGTTTGTTTCCAAGCTCATTGAAAAATTAGTGGCCAAACAATTGATTGCATACCTGAAATTAAACCGACTTTTCCCTAAACTTCAATCAGGTTTTTGCTCTGGACGCTCAACTGAGACAGCAATTCTAAAGGTCTTCAATGATGTTTATGAGGCTATTGATTCTGGTAGTATCTCTCTCTTGGCTCTGCTCGATGTCGGAGCTGCTTTCGATACGATCAACCACAAGATTACTGCAGTTCAATCCTCTATGGTACAAGCTTGTATCTTCAAAACTGCATACAGTCTATTCTGAACACTGCAGCAAGAATAATTGCTGGTTTAACAAAATATGAATCTGTTTTATCATATATGCGAAATGAACTTCACTGGTTGCCAGTTTGTTATAGAATCGAATTCAGAATAGCAATGTTTACAAGAGACAGTTTGATGGGACTTGGTCCTCGATACCTTCAACAGCTGATCGTGCCTGTCCCTACGGCTGCCGGGGGGCGAAAACTCAGATCCTCTGCCAAAAAGAAATTCGTTGTTCCTAGGTTCGGGAATAAACTGCCCGATGATGTCGTTGATAGTATGGATGAAAGAGACATGTTCCGAAAACGACTTAAACATCACTTTTTTGACCGGCAGCTTCTCGAACAGCGCCTCTGAGTTTTACATAGAGGGGCGCTATATAAATTCTCCATACCATACCAAAGGAGAATGCATAAACGGAAAAAGTGAATGCTGCAGATTTGGATGACAGAATAAAGAATTGGAAAAAGTGACCTAACTGTTAATTAATAACTGTTATAACTGTTATAAAAAATTACCCATTAAATCAATAATCTTAAAACGAGAGCAACAAGATAATAGCAACCGGACCACTGAAAATAACATTGTATTGTGGATTTGTGGAGCGCCTTTATTTTTTTTTGCAGATCTCAGTCTATTTCTCTCAGGAACATTCAAGACTAAGTTTAACATCTCTTTCGGTGCCTTTCCGGTTAGACAATTTTTTTTACCATGAAAAATATTTTAAGTCGTATTCTGCCCTCCACAGATAGCCAATAAAGTTGGTTTTTCATGTAATTAGAAATGCTGTCAAATTTAGAGACTCAAGCAAGTAGTCTAGCGGCAAACTTAAGAACCGGTTGAATGGATGCCAGTTGACTTTCATTCACACCATACAAACTGAAATGCAGTAATCAACCTGCGTAAAAACATGGCTGGTCGATAGAGTTCTTGTAGACTCTTCCGAGAGTCCGATTCTTCGCTCTTATTAATAATTTATAAAGCTGATAAAAAGTTTGTTGACGGAAACGTTTCTCATGATCTTCCACAGAAAGGCCTGTGTCGAGAACGACGCCTAGATCAACAACTGATCCCTTGAAATTATCCACATCTTGCAATCGGCGCTGACTACCAAGCCACATTTGTTTAGTTTTATTGTTGTTGAGTTTTAGTCTATTTGCTGACATCTACTCTTCTACCGCCTGTATTGAGTCAGAAACGGTAGCCGTTAATTCACTCATCGATTCCTGTGCACATCGCTGATACCGGATGATTCGACAACCTTCACTAAGTCAACTTTATATATAAAATGTAGAGTAGGGGTCTAAGGACTGAATCTTGAAGCACACCACGATCTAGTGTCGATGTAGCTTTTTCTGACCCCATGGTAATGATTTGGGTTCGCTGAGATAAGTATGACTTAAACCATTTTATTTAAAGCAGCCCCGTTGATACTATAGGATATTGAAAGCTGATGATATTTCTTACGACAGTCTCAACTCTAATTATATATATATATATATATATATGTGTGTGTGTGTGTGTGTGTGTGTGTGTGTGTGTGTGTGTGTGTGAGTGTGTGTTTGCGTGGCGTGTGTGTTATTTACATCCTCTGAAAGAAGAAAGTTAGAGCGGTGTTAGCGCTTTTGAGTAACAAGATTTTGCATACTAATTTAATACATTTTATGATCAAAAATTTAATTCAATCTTTTAAAAAACTAATAAAAACAATGAAATAATCAACCAAGTGCCAAATCAATGAAATAAATAACATCAACAAGTATTCGGCCGATCAAAAAATTACTCAAAATATAAATAATAAACCCAACAAAAAGCAAAAATAAGCAATAAATCATTAAAACAAGTTAATACAAACCAAGCAACCAAATAATGAGTAAAATGCAACAATCAATTGAACAAGCAATAAACCAATAAATAAAATATCAAAAATCAACTGAACAAGCAATAAATAAATAATGCACGTATATAAAAAACAAACAATTAATCAAATAAATAGGGAAATTCATGCAAGCAAGCAAGCAATACCTAAAATAAATCAAATTTAATCAAATAATCAATTAAACAAAAAAAAGAAAATTCTCAAAACTATTCAAAACTAAATGTGAAAACAAATCCTAACCATCAGCTCCCAGGTAAACCATGGTCAGTGAGATGAGGATGTTTATAGGGGAGAATATGAGATTGTTGTCGGGACTTCCCTCCGCAATACTCTTGTACATATCTAGGCTGAACTCGTAGGTGAAACTTAAATTTGGGTTTGCATTATTGGTTAGTCCTGTCGTGATACCTTCTTACCTAGGTTTAATTAGGTTAGATTATATTTTTGTGAGATTCAATTTTGTGAGATAAACATTAACAAAAAAGTTTATTCAAATTTTAAAAATAAAACCGAATTGCAAATTATTACAATTTGAATGTATCTGACAATTTATTGATAACGTGGCTATATACTGTTACACAGTCACGCACATACACACCAGACACGCACATACATACACACACACACAAACTATAACGTAAGATCATGTAACTACCTCCTCATGTTCATGTAGCATATATATGATATATAAAATATACACATAGAGAAAAAAACATTATATAATATAACATTGAGCAGCCGATAATACAACGCATATGTAAATGCGTTCCGTAATAACTCGGAACAATAAATAGGAGTTGCATCCAAGTCTCTGGTGGTTAACATGTCTGTCCAGTGCAATCCATATATTTAGAGTCTGTTTTCACACTAGTTTCCATAAACAATTAATTATTCATCAAACTCATCAAATTTTACAATTTTTACATTTTTATAGTTCAGTAAAAACTCAGAACAATAATTGTAATTGCATCGTAGCTTATGTTAATGACAAGATGGAGCTTAGCGAAAATTATTTGACCATTATTCAGCATAAATATGTTCAACTTTTGATATTTATCACACCAACGATAGAATAAATAGGATAATTAAGAAATAATCAAAACGAACTCATCAATGTTTTTGCTTCACGTTTACTTTTCATTTACTATTACATTTTATAACGTTTTGAATATCTTATTAATTTTATATATTGTTTGGTGGAAAGTCAATTAAAAAATATGTATAGGCATTAAATGTTTTTTCCCTTGATAAATTTAATAATGGACAAAGAAGAATGTGAAAGCAATAATAGAAATGATTAATATTGATTATTAATTAAAATGGCTAGTTCATAATCAAGTAACAAATTTAAGTATTAGTTGTTATTATATGTTAGACAAATTATTGTTTAAAACTCTCATTTTAATATAAAAAAAAATCAATCACAAAACCTGACGAAAATATGAAATTAAAATGAGAATAAAATGCAAATATTGGTTCGATTATTTCATTTGAATATGTGGCTTGAATAAAAAATTATACACAAAAATGTATACAAATGAATAATAGCAAAAACAACTTTATTTAATAAAAATTTGAATGTTAACATTTTTTGGTTTGTTCAAATCGCTATCATTATTCGTTTTACGAAATTTATTCAAAAACATTTAGTATGACTATACAAAATTTTATTAGTAACGGGAATCACAGTATGGCCGCAATAATAGTAAAAAAGCCAATCATTAAATTCATTCAATCGTAATCCTACGACCTGAACCTGCATATACTGTCAGAAATGCAATTATTGATGAAAATCACAGCATGTTCGGCGTTAGTTAACCTCCAATTTAACTTTTTGATTTTTTTTAACGGCTGATCGTAAATCATTTTCAAGTTTCTTTAGTTCAAAACCAAAATTTTCGTTAATTAAATGCATGATAGAACAGAAAAGCTTTTTTCGGTATTCCTATACCATCTTG